CCCCCCCCGTGGGGCAGAAGACGGGTCAGCAGGAGTGAGGCGGGAGGGAGACGGCTTGTAACAGATCCCTGGTGGGAGCCGGGAGGGACGCCCCTCGCTCCCGGGGACTGGGGTGGAGTCAGCGCCCCGGTCCTGTGCTCTGGGGAATAAAATATGTCACGTGGATGAAACCTGTCTCGTCCGAACACGTAACTAAATTATGTAACGGCAAATTTAGAGTGGAATCATTTCAATATTGATCTTAAAAAAGCAATTTGGGGGTAATGTTTTTTATTTCAATACTCAAATCGTTTCAGAAATGTTGTGAGGAGGAACATTATCTACATGGTAATGTTTTAATGTAAATTCTAAATGACCGTTTGCAGCCACGTGTACCCAGAGATTTGAAGTCAGAAAATAACAGTAACAGAGAGGACAAGCTTCTCCTGGCTCTCTCGCTGAGAAAGTGGGCGCCCTCCGAGGGCTCCGTCCCCCGAAACCCTAGGCTCGCCGAGCCGACCGCTTCCTGGTCGTTTCCGAGAGAGCGTCTCAGACTCACACTCGGCACGGCCGTGGTCACTCGCACCCTGACCCTGGCTGGGAGAGGTTCTTGGGAAGTGTGACCGTAAGGAAGGTGTCTCTCGTCTCTTCCCCTTGCAGGACCCCCGCTTATCTTCCTTCCCTCTGCATTTATCAGGACTCTGGCTGCAAAATCCAAGTGAGCTGAGGCAAAAGGGAGGGGTTGCCGAGGGGAGAGGCACAGTGGGCCTGGGAGCTCCTGGAAGGTGTCCCCTTCCCGCCACCTGTCACAGCCGAGTGGGGGCAGTGTGTTCCCTGGTGGCACCTCCTGAGCAGGGGCCGGGCTGGAGGCCGCCCTGGGGGGGAGGTCTGTTCCTCAGAAGCCCGGCTCAAGGCCCGGGGAAGGTTTGCAGCGGGTTATCGTGGGTCCCAAGGTCACCTCTGGACTGGGAGCGAGCGACCCCAGCAGAACCAAGTGGTGTCAAGCACATTCTCTGAACACGGGCAGGCGGACGGCTTCTGTGCACATACCTCCCGCAAAGTCAGGAGCTGAAGCAACTCTGGACTCACGGTACCCAGGCTCCATATGGGCCCCTCTCTGTCCCACACCAGCCTGGCTCCCAGACCCCAGGCCCTCGGGGGCTCTGCCTTGCCACCCCTGCCTGCAGTTCCCTTCTCCTCCCACCCGTCCTGGGCCTGGCGGACTCCTACTCCACCTGCTAGCTCCCTCTGTGAAGCCTCGCCTTCCACGACGCTCCACCTACTATGTGTCGGTTCACCCAGTAGGACTCTCTTCCTACTGTGTGACACCCAGCAGGCTGCAGTGTCCTTATTTATCTTTGTATCGCAGCAGCTAGTACAGCTCCTAGCACATAGTAGGTGCACAGGAAATGCTAGCTGCAGTTATGTGGAGAATGATTTTAAAAAGCGCATGTTGCAAAAGAGTCGCAAAATCATTTACAACCAGAATAAACCCGTGCTTTGCTCTCACCAGTGAAGATGTGGTAGGTTGCATGGTTTTAGTTAAGATGAATAGGGTTCTCCTCTTCCAGTTTATCTCAGAAACTCACTATTTCCACGTGTCCCACATCACCGCCCTCGCCTCCCCCAGCACCGCTCAGGATGTGTCCGTGCCGTTCTAAACTCTCCCTTCACATTTGAATATGGACGGCTGGTTCGCTCGCCTGCTAGGGAGCCAGCAGGGCAGGATTCTGGGTCCAAAATGATCGTCCCAACAGGTCGCTTAGCCTTTGATTCTAGACGGTGGAGCCCTGGACTTGCAGGCGGTGATTCTCCCAGCTCAGAAATCTGCACATACTATTTATAGAAGAGTGTATGTATGTACATGTTGCAGTGTGCATGAGCCAGGGCATACCTCTGTGTGCCTGTGTGTGCATGTACCTGTGTGTGCATGTGCCTGTGTGTGCCTGTGTGTGCATGAGCCAGGGCGTACCTCTGTGTGCCTGTGTGTGCATGTACCTGTGTGTGCATATACCTCTGTGTGCCTGTGTGTGCATGTGCCTGTGTGTGCCTGTGTGTGCATGAGCCAGGGTGTGCCTGTGTGTGCATGAGCCAGGGCGTGCAGATGCCTGACTGTGTGTTGGAAGATTGAGGCGGGAGGTGGTGGGAGGGAGGGCTCCATGTGTACTGTGGGGGGTGGTTCCCTGAATACACGTCTGACGCCCGCCTGCCTGAATCTCCTGACTCTCCCTGGAAAGCCTGCACACGTGGAGGTCCCTCGGGAGCCTCAGTAAATTAGTGGGATCATCTGTAAAATAATCAGGAGCCCGGGTCAGACCCTGGCTGCCCTGCAGCCTGGCGATTCTACACTCAGTGTTTCATGTTTCTCTCCCCCACAGGGGCCTCATTGCCAGTGGTTTCACAGAAACCCACTACCTTCAGGATGGCACTGACGTGTCCCTCACTCGGAATCACACGGTAAGTCCTGTGTGTTCGGCCCACTGTGATACGATGCTATCGAATCTGTGCTTAAAATCCGTAGCTGTCTTGTCCTGAGCTAACTCACACGCCCAGCTACTTCCTTAGGCCCTGAGAGGGGCTGTGCACCACTCAGTGTCTGAGCCTCCCACTGTCCCTCCAGGAAAACTCAGCCTTGGCCAGTATGTGCCAGGACAGTCCTTGAAGATATGGCTTCACTGTAGCCTGACCTTGAAACCATTTTGCAGATTGAAAACTTTTGAGGCTCTAAGTCTCAAACCCCAGGACTTTCAACTCAGGACCGACCCTGTGCCCTCGCTGGGGCAGACGCCCTGGGTCCTGGCTGGTTTGCCGGGAGTCCCAAGGAGCGTGCACACGGTGTCCTGAGCCTGCGCTCTGATGCCCCGAGGTCAGCCCGCTACTGTCTTCACCCGACGTGGTTCTCATTAGAGCTGGAGCAGAGCAGCCCCGGGGGCCTGGGCATGGCAGCTTATTTCTCCAGACCCTGTCCTGTCCACTCTCAGGGCTGAGCCCGATGCAGCCCGGCCACAGAAAGTCACGGTGCACACAAACTTTGTCCTGTTAATCCACTGGCCCTGTGTCTCAGGCTCAAGCAAACACGTGGTATGTGGGGTCCTGATGTTCTGTACAAAGGACATAGCTGGGCCACAGTCAGGCTGAAATGCAGGTCAGCAGCTGGCACTTGCAGGGGCACACACACACACAGACACACACAGACACATGCATACATGTGCTCACACACAGGCACACATAGGCACACACAGGCACATGCATACATGTGCTCACATGCTCACACACAGGCACACACAGAGGCAGACATGCACACATACACCCTCACACACATTTCCACACAGATACACACAGGCACACACGTGTGCTCACATATGTGCTCACACACATGCACACACACGCAGTCACCCTCAGACCCCTTCTATCTGCAGATCTCTCTGAGTTTGCAAATGTCACCGTCCTAGGACTCCCTGAGTGGCACTGTGGTAAGGTCCCAGGGTTCCCTGAGTGGCACTGTGGTAAGGTCCCAGGGTTCCCTGAGTGGCACTGTGACCAGGCTCTGCCCATAGTTGAGAAAGCATTTGGTCCGCATTTGGATTTTTGGAGATAGCTTTTCTTCAAAAAGAGAGACCCGTGAAGGCACAAGCTCAGAGCAGCAAGATATGGGAGGGACACCGTCTGACCTGCAGCCAGAGGCCTGGACTTTGGTCCCTGCTCGGCCATTAACCAGCTTTGTGGCCTTCGTTACAAACCAGCCAGGCCTGGGTTTCCACATCTGCCCGGGGAGGGGGCGCCTGGGGCGGGGGTAGCCTTGCCCGGCCTGAAGCTTCCTTCCAGCCAGAACATTGTGTGATTCAAACAGTAAATCAAGACTGTTTGGCACGTTGCACATGGTCGAGGAGGGGGGGCCACAAAGTTCCCAAGGACTTAAAGCCTTGAAAATAATGTCGCTCAGCAGATTCCGGGGCAGACACTGTCTGCTCACAGTCCTCTTTAACCACAAGGTCGGCCCATCTTTGTTAGCAGTTTAGCGTAGAAGAGTCCTGGCTTTCTGGTCCCCTGAGAGCTGGGTAACAGAATTCTGATTTTCCTTCCCATATGGCAGAGTTGAGGGCTAGTATTTTCAATCCACCATTATATTTGATGGATAGTATTAAACAGAAGGAAAATTTATTTTAGCGGAGTGAGGAAATGCATCAGGGTAAGTAATAAGTATATAAAATACGTGGTTAGAGGTTTTGTAAAGGAAAAGATGTAATTTTGTGGTTCTGCGTGTTTGGGGTATTTTCTGCGCTATGTTTTGCTGGTAGAGAGAGAATGCATTGGGTCAGCAGGACGGGCCAAGCCGAGGGTGCCAGGGCCACGCCTTGTTACAGACGGACAGCTCGACCTGGGGGCAGCGGCAAGGGCGCAGCTTGGGAACGTGTACGAGGGTCCTTGTGATGGATACGCCTGTGGGTCCTGGGGCACCGGGACCGCCCTCAGCATGGACGCCTGCCGTGTCCCTCATGGCCACGTGTTTGCGAGTCCCCGAGGCCTGGCAGGTCCCGCCTCTCAGCATCAGTCCCTGGGAGGTGACCTGGCCCCAGGTGTGGGGACACACACGACGTCCCGGCGCTTTCCAACCCTGTCGGTGTTCCCGCCGTAGATCCTGCCGGGCCGCGTCAGGCCCGCGCAGCGTCTCACACGAACACTCCTCCTCTGACATTTTTGCGAAAGGGAATTGCGCAGATAAAAACAAGCGAGGGGGGTCACAGGCGGTTGTCTGCTGTGAGCGGGCGAGAGGATGCTGTGACTGACGGACCTTGTTCTCCTTCCAGGGTCACTGTTACTACCACGGGCATGTGCAAGGGGACCCCGGCTCCATGGTCAGCCTCAGCACTTGCTCCGGTCTCAGGTGAGTCTCAGGGCTCTTGGCCTAAGCACAGCGACTGCAGCCACTTCTCCTTTTCACTCGGACGCACCCAGAGGGACGGGTGGGGCCTCGCCTTCGCCCGGCCGGACGGGACAGTGACCTTGGCCGCAGCCCACGGGAGTGGGGCCCGCCCGGCCCACGGCTTCTCTGCGCCTCTGGCCGCGCCCATCCCCCCGGCAGGTGGGCAGGGAGGAAACCGGCTGAGTTTCGGGGTCTGAGCACTTGTGAGTGCTTTTCACTCGTGGGACTCTGATGCTTAACAATTCTTGGTGATAAAAGATAGGACATTAAATCAGGCAGCGTTGAAGCTGCTTGCTTAACAGAAATAAAAAGGCCTCCTTATTAGCACAAAAGGAAAGGAACATAACCCAGACCCAGACGTGTGGAATAAGGCCGGGGTCACAGGGGCTTTTGCCGCGGGGCTGTGGCGTGATGCAGGGAACAGTTACCTTCCCCACCCCACCCCCACCCCGGACGAGCAGCCTGCTCCTGACTCACCACAGTTGGCTCTTCTGTGCTCCCCAGGAGGACCAGTTTGTTGGACAGATTTCCAGCTGCCTCAGCTTTCTTATTGGATTTATTTATTGAGTTTTTGAGCTCACAGCTTGTGTCCTCAGAGTCCCCCCTTGCCCTGGCAGTGGCACCAGAGCGTGGCTCCGTGGGAGGGCATGCCAGGGCGAGCACCGGCGGGGCGGCATCCCGTGTCAGCAGTGACCCCATGTCACGGCTCCGGGAGCTCTGTGCAGGACTGTAGAGAATGAGCCTCGGCGCACACACCTCACACACGCGCGCACACACACACGCACACACCTCACACACACACGCACACACACACGCACACACCTCACACACACACCTCGCACACACACGCACACACACACGCACACACGCACGCACACACACGCGCGCGCGCTCACACACACCTCACACACACACGCACACGCGCACGCACACACCTCACACACACACGCACACGCGCGCGCGCACACACCTCACACACACGCACACACACACACACGCACGCACCTCACACACACACACACACAATGCACCACAGGCGCAGTTCAGGCGTGGCACTCACGGAACACCTGTGCTCAGGGATCAACGGGATGGGCCCCGAGCTGGCGGCATCTGGGATGAAGGGAGGGATCAGTCCAAGATGGAACATCTGGAACCAACAGGGGGTGTTCGCTCCCTGGAGCGAGACAGCCCCATAGCGACCTGACTGTGTGACCGTGGACTGGTCACTCTGAGCCCCAGTTTCTTCTTGTTAAAGAATGGTGGTTTTGGAAATAACTGCAGTACCTTATAGGAAAGCCCAGGCCTGTATCTGACCTCAAGTGAGCGGCCAGTGGGCAGACCATCAGCCTCTTAAGAGTCTCCTGGGCCGGGGCCAGTTGGGTGGAAGGGAGGGCATTGGGGGGTGGGGGTGTCCATGCTGTAGGACTTCTGGGTTAATCCCATGCAAAGCTACCCTGCTCCAGGGTGGACACATGCAAGGCTGTGGAGTCCACTCTCTCTCCATCTCTAGCTCCTGCCTTCTTCTGTGATGGTTTCATCCTCAGGCAGTTTATTTTTGTGGAGACAGAGGGGCTGTGGGCAGTTCCAGGCTTATATCCTCAGAAGGCAAGGAGACAAATAAGACCCCTTTTTCAAGATCAGCAAAGATCTTGCAAATGCATCTTATTGGTCCTGATTGGGTCAGAGGCTCACCCCGGAAACTATCATAGTGGACAGTGGTCGGTATGGTGCTCTGGTTGAACACATATGTGCCCACCACTGGGCCAGGCTGAGGGTGACCTGAACCCAGCCCCAGGGCCAGGAAGCAGGGGAGGGGTGAGGACCCCAAGGAAGACCAGTGAGCTTCTGCCAGGCAAAGGACAGATGAGGTCTGGGACACTCAGAACAATCAGGCCTCCTCCAGCCAGCTTCCTCTCGTTTATGAAGATGTTTTAAACTATCGAAACTGAGGCTGGGCATAAATGGAGGCATCCGGGTTGCCTGGTAATTTTCAGGTGATCTTCATAGGGATATCAAATTCTTGATCGATAAAGAGAGAAGGGGTGTGTCCAAGGCATTCCTAATAGCTCCTCTTTACAATCCGTAGAACAGTTTACAAACCAGGGACATTAACTGATTAGCTTTAAAAGTGAAGGTGGCCCTAGCCAGTTTGGCTCAGTGGTCAGAGCGTCGGCCCTCTGCCCCCCCGCTTCTGTCGGCAGGCCCAGGCTGGGTCCCTTCCCACCCCCGGGCCAGGTTCTGACTGTCCTTCCTCTCTCTTCCTCCCATTCTGTCATCCTGTGCAGACATCGGTGGGAGCCAAGGTCTCCACCCTAAAGGATTCTCAAGGTCAAGCCTCAGCTCTCCCCAGGTCCCCCCCCCAGTCAAGGCTGGAAATGTCCAAACCCCACACTGCTCGGGTCCCTGATGGCTCCCGTCCGGAGCTCCTGTCCAGGAGAGGCCCTGCCCATCTCGGGCTCAGGGCTTGGCCCTAGGATCTCTGAGAACCTCCCTCTTGCCCCAGCCCCAGCACATGCCCCCAAACCCATCCGTCTCCCCTTAAACAGTTCTCATCACCGCCCCGGCTCAACCCCGGCTCCAAGACTTTTCAGTTGCCTCCCACCCGTGTTCCTGCCTCCGCCCTTCCCTTCTCTGGTTTCAAAACTGCGGCTTGACCGTATCATCCGTCTGCCCCTGCCCTGGATGAACAGAGGGAACTTAATGGCCGGTGAATCATTTCTCAATAAAGCTGTTGTTTTATTTTTATTTATGTGTTTTGTTCATGCGCACCTGAGGATATTTTGTCCGTTGATTTTCAGAGAGCGTGGAAGGGAGAGGAGGGGAGGGAGAGAGAGAGAAACATCCACGTGAGAGACACGCTGACTGGTTGCCTCCCGGGCGCCACGACCGGGGCCGGGGTCACACCTGCAACCCTCGGGTTCGTGGGCCAGCCCTCTAACCACTGAGCCACCGGCCGGGGCTAACGCTGTCATTTGAAGGAGCCCGGCTGAGGCCTGTGTCTTCACGAATCATAGATGCTATTGTTACTGTCCGTGTGTCCGTCATAGCAGTTCTTAAAGCCCTTTACAATAGCTGAACCTTTTACCACGTTCGTCCTGCCTCCCAGACCTGCTCGCGAAGGGCACTTGAAACGGGCACCATGGGTGGGCCCGGGAACGGTGCCCCGGGAGCCGGGCCGCGCGGGGGCGGGGAGCTTGCCGTGAGGGCGGCACGCGAGTAGCTCACTGGGAGTGAGCCCCGCGGTGCTCCCGTGCTCACCGGGTGGCTGCCGCCGCGTGGCACGCAGATGAGGCGGCGTGTCGCATGTCGCCTTCACCCGACCCCTCCCGAGAGGACGGGCGCTCCGTTCCCGCTGCCTGCGCTTCTCAGTTGCGGTCGGCGGCGTGAAACCCAGAAAATAAAATCAGCACCTGAAGGCGGAAAGGCCGGGAGGACGCCGCTCTCGCCTGACTTACCGGCGGCCAGGCCCGTGC